GGTAGTTTGTCAGACCCCATCAATTTCAGACCTGTTTCAATACTACCAACACTCAGTAAAATCTTTGAAAAAATGATTCTAAATCAAATGTGTGCACATTTTTATAGTAATAACTTAATGTCTCCTAAACAATTTGGTTTTACTCGGGGTCGCTCTAAAACCAACGCTGGTGTCGAGTTGGTTAATCATATATTTGATGCATGGGAAGTAACACATGATGCTATTGGTGTATTCTGTGACCTTTCCAAGGCTTTTGATTGTGTGCACCATGATACTCTGGTCAGGAAACTTCACCATTATGGTATGGCGGGACGTGACCACGACCTTCTCAAATCGTATTTGAGTGGCAGGGTCCAGAGAGTTGATATTATCGGTACGAGATCATCAGGGTCTGCAATAAGCATGGTTGTCCCCCGAGGTTCAATTCTAGGCCCATTTTTGTCTTTAGTTTATATTAATGAGTTACCTAGCCTCATGAAGGGTTTAAAACATGTGACAGTATTGTTTGCTGATGATTCTTCATACTTCATTATTATTTAAAGTTAAAAGGCACCAATGTTCCTACGACGATGTGAACAATATTATACCTAAAGTAGTTGATTGGTTTGCCTGCAAACCTGCTTCTTAATGAAAAAAAAACAAATTGTGTGAAATTTACATTACCTAATGTTAGAGAGACTATTACAAACATTATAGTTAGAAACGAAAAATTTAATCTTGTGGATACAATTGTATTTCTAGGTATAACGTTAGATGCTAAATTGCAATGGGGTACACATATAAGTAAGTTATCAAAACGGCTCAGCTCTGTAGTGTACGCGATAAAAAAATACGGAAACTTTTTATTTTTTTTTATTTATTGATTGGTTTACTTCAGCTACTTTCACAGTCTGATGACATACGGCATTTTGCTTTGGGGTAATGTAGTCGATATCAATAGAATCTTTGTCCTGCAGAAACGTGCGGTTAGGGCAATTTAAAATCTGGGCCCCGGAGTATCTTTGAAATATAAGTTTAAAGAAATTAATATTCTTACACTAGCGTCACAGTACATCTATGAAAATGTAATTTATGTTAAGAGGAATAATAATCTCTTAATGAAAAATAGTGACAGACATAACATTAATACGAGGAATAAAAATAAACTAGCTGTTCTTGATAGTCGTCTTCACAAAGTGACAAATCCATTTAAGAGGCAATGTATACACTTCTGTAACAAGATTCCGGTTGATATACAAAATTCGCCATTCACGAGATTTAAAACTATAGTTAAACAAAAACTTTATATTAAAGGTTATTATACAACTTCTGCGTATTTGGATGACAAAAATCCGTGGTAGTGACCCGTTTAGCTCATGGAGGTAGTCTCGATCTCTGATGTTTATACGTTATTTACAAAGATCAACCCCTAGAGTTTCTTGCTCATTCTTCTCAGGGGAATCTGCCTTACTAATGAGCGGTAGAGTTTAACCAATGTGACAATTTGAAGTGTAATAATGCTTACCTATGAAATAAAGATTATTTTGATTATTGATTTTTTTTATGAGTAAAATTTAAGATTGTACTATTACTGAACATAAAATTTGATATCTACGCGCTAATAAAGCGGTGGTTAGAACACAGAAAGAAACAATTAAAAGATATTTATACTTAACTCAAAATGAGGCAAATTAGCTAGTTCTGAACAAAACAGTTCTTGCTCTGATGTATGCCAATATTTTTTCGCTTTTATTTTTAAATAACATTTGGCAAATAGAAAGTCGTTAAGATATCTGTAATAAACCTTAGTCTATACATGCTTTTTTTAATCTTTCACTGAAATCAATAATTCGTTTTTTATAGATTCGGAGAAAATACGCTTTTTAAGTTAAGACATTGTTGTACTAACAGTGCGATATACAGATTATTTTAAAACGATTGATTAATTTAAAACTGTTTAGTTATCTATTAAGTATTAAGTGTGTGCTATGTATAAAGTGTGGCCAATGATATTACATATTCATATTCTTTATTTGTGTATAGCATTAAATAAACCATAATTAAAATAATAGACTACGTTTATTTTACCAAAATACAGTAATTGCACAGATCCGTTGGTGGTCGTCGGGCAAGAAGGTGTTCAAATATTCAAGGAATTTAACATTTTCTGCAGTTATTGTTTTGTAAATTAATATAAATTAGTGTTTTTAAATTCTAAATTAATATAATTCATTACTATACAACACCATATATTTTGACAATTGAAATATAAAAGTAGGTCTTTGTAGCAATTTCATTTCGTTTAGCAAATTATTGAAAATCCTTCACACGCGTTGAAACAGCTATTCTTGTAAATTAATTTACGGCATCGAGAATAAAAGATCCTTAAATGTAGCTCTAATTTGGCTTCTCCACGTGTCTTGTATCGAGGATAAATGTGACGTAGCATAGACCTACCAACAAATGAACGTCGGGTCTAATACAAAAACGACGAAAAAATGTCCGAGGTTAACCTATACAAACGTAGTGACATGTAACGGAATATAAAAAACTAAAACATTTAATTTAAATTGTAACGCCATTGCAGTACTGCCTAATTTTGCTTGCAATAATTTAAAGGCCCAAAAACACCATATTCAGCTTCTACTGGAAACTTAACAAAATGCACCATATTTATCTTCGACTAAAAATTACTTGAACACAAGAGTAATGGAGAAGGCTTTATCGTAAATATTAATTAATTTTTATATATATTATTATGACGAATTTTGTACAAATTCACTTAAAGAAATAATAAAGAGTTGGGCAGATACATACATACAAATATTACTACAAATGTGAAAATAAGCGTGTCCTATAAAAAATGTACCGATATTCCAACTAAACGAAAATTCAAATATCCGTAATTCCGAAAACCGATGTATAAGTAAAACCTTAACAATTTCGAGTGATTTTGATGCTTTTCACAAAGACAATATTAGCTTTTGTTTTGTAATCTTCCTAAAAAAATACATTTGACATTATTAAAATTCGAGTTAACGTTATTTCGGGCAAATGTATTTTCTTATCAGGTAGGAAGTGAAACTATTTTTCAGGATTTAAATTTGATTTCTTATCAGGTAATCCTAAGTCGTAAAACGAGTACAACAATATTTTGTTAGTTAAGGTTTACGTTTAATAAAAAAATAATTTTAAAAATAAGATTAAAATCAAAGCGACTCTATAGTTTCTTTGTTCTAAATATTTCAATCGCTTGTGGTTCGAACAATTGAAAATGACCAAGAACTTTATAATAAAAGCTTCTTGAAATTGACGTAATGGGTCTCTTTCCATCTTTTGCGTATGCAATGTATAGAAAAGGACAGTTAGTTATTTAATTATTTTGTGTGCTTTTGTATTTTATATAAATATAAAAAATGTACGATTAATTTGTACGATTGTAAAAATTATACGATTAATTTATATATAAATTAAATACTATAAAACTGTACAAAATAATACTTTAAATGAGGTCTATGATAACACAATATATTTGTTTAGTGAAAATATTATACAAAATCCTGTTTTTACACTATACTGCAGTAATTTTTACAAGTTATTATTATTATATGGTACTGTATGTTTGACAACCGCGCTGTCAGTCGAACAAACGAAGACTGTTGCGCGATTGACGCTCTATAAGTAATTTTAACGCCCTATAGGTGCCGACACTTTTTAGCGCGAACCCGACGTCCATTTATTGGTGGTCAATGTGACGTAGCCTATTTCTTTCATAGCGTTGTCCATAACAATGGTTACGTTGTGTATTTATTTATCTTAAAGGAAGACCAACAACTTAAAACTAACTTAAATAACAACAGTAACAACTATGAGCCAATTAATACCTAGAAATTAACAAATAGAAATGTAATGAGGAACCTGGACGTACAATTTAAGTAACCTATTACATAAGACGGGCAGTAGCAAGCCTCAGTATGCGTTAAAGAATTGACCACTCAGTGCTCTCCTCGCCGAAATCACACTCGTATTGAAAAGAACCAGATCAAAGGAATTACATGGAATGTTAAAATTATTGTTTGCACGCCACATAAACTCATTTTGCGTGTAATTAGTACGGACCGGGGGAGAACCAAAAGTGACTTCTTTGTCAAAGATTTAGAGGAAACTGTCAGTGATATTTGTAATTATTATTCTGGGTAGTCAATTGAGAACTTCTTTATATTTAAGTACTGAACTTGTACCTTGAGCTACTCCTGTATTATGATATTATCAAAATATGTTGGTCATAATAAATGTGTTGATATAATAAAAACCCCAAAAGTTTCTTATGCGTTCTTTTCAGGAGAATCTAAAATTTTGCCTGCCCATAAACAAGTTTTAGTTGCATATTGGTATATGTTTTTAAAACTATCGACTATCTAACTTTCTTAGCGCTAAAAAGAACGCGTAGAAGCGTGCTTGCTTTATAATGTAGGGAGATGGGGTATTAGAGATAATGTTGTTTACATGTTCACGGACGCGGAATAACACAATTCATTACTGAACGCCGTATAATGGTCGTACACAAGCTCCCTGTACAGCCGAAATCCATACGAAAACAGTTTAATAGTCGACCAGTCAAAGTACAAATTTCGCGCTTACGCCGTTGCTTTGCAAACATTTTTCATAAAATCCGATCTACCTGGATATTAAATTTAAAAATTCCGCGGACGGAGTAAAACACACAGCCGGCTCCCGTATATTAAGTTTCCGCTGCCCACAAAGCGTCTTTGGCACATTCTTCGCGGAAGTATTACATTATGTATGTGACAGCCCCTCCTCCTTCCCCCCCTCCGCCCCGCACCCGCGCCCTGCGCCTTCAGCCCCACAGCCGCAGCAGTGTGGAGGTTAATATAGCGCTAGACGCAGCCTCTAAAATTCCATACATATATGACATCGTACGACGCATCTGCATATATGAGCTCACTTTATTAAACCGAATAATGTAGTGAATGCTCGCTAACTCACTTCGGCATAATGAGCAATCTCGTAGCGGCGCTACAGCGCGACGTAGCTTCTCGCGGCAGTCGCCGGCCGGCCGCGCGTCAAGCGCTACGCGGCGCTACGGAGCTACACGAAACCGATTTGATCGGTTACGTTCGCACGCTATTAGAATTTGTTGCCAAATGAAAATAATTATATACCTCTTAAATTAGTTACTAAAATAATTTATAGCTTTACATACTAAGCTTTTAAAGTAATTGTTGTGAAATCTTTTAGTAAGTTTATTATATTAATCGTGATCCCTGATTACCTCTAGTAGTTGTCGTAAGTCTGTGTCGTAGCTTGATGTCCGTTTGTTAAGTAAGCTAAAGTCGCGTAAATTGGTGTTAAGTAGAGCAAGTGCGATGTTCAAGATGCGGAGAATCTGCCACCTCATCTTTCGTCTGCTCTTCTTGCTTGACGGTAAGTTCAGGAAAAGTTTTTAAGCAATATTACTCGGCAACATTTTCTTACAGGATTTTTAATAAAATATCTTATTGTACTCAAAATAAATTATATTTAGTGGGTTAGTTTTCTCTCTTATAAAATTTTTATCAAGTAACGTTTTGTATAACTTTTGTTTAACAATTGTTTAATAAGTAATTTAAAACGTTCTCGTAAATTTGTATTTCACATTTTATTAATTAACTATTATATTAAAAATATATTTGTTGTATTAGGAATATTGATCTGTCATGTTCGTTTGCAGAACACAAAGTCATTTACATAAAAACAACCAAATCAACCCATTTTTGCGTCCCACTGCTAAGCACGGGTCACCCCTCGGACACACATACACACACACACACACACACACACACACACACATACACACACACACACACACACAAACACACACACACACACACACAAACACACACGCACACACACACACACACACAAACTAGTCCATAGCAGGTTGAGGACTTCACACGTTTTCCCGCTTTTTATTCCGCAAATTATTTTACGCACAATTTTATGTATTTTATGTTATGCACCAATCACATAGTCAAAAAGTGAGGTATATCTATGGGTATACCCTGCGCTACACATTAAATAGAATAGAACTAATTTAGAAAAGTTCGTTTCTCGATTTGGTTCTACCGGGAATCGAACAAGAGACTTCCACGTCTAGCACCACAGTACTAACCAGGTCTGTAGTCCGAGCTCATCAAATAAAAAATTAACGCTTTGGTACTTTGTACTTCAATCACTAAAACTAAAAAGTTTGATAACATTTTTTTGTGGATAGGATTCTAAATGAAATATGTCATATATCCATATTTGACTTATATGAATCAGTGTTATGTCGTAAAGAGGATAAAAATGATTTCGTTTATATTATGTTCAGCGAAGTGAAAATGTTACCTTCCTCGGCATCGTCGAGTCAATGGGGCCAATACTTCAAAAAGTGAAGTGATAATCCTTTTCTTGCTCTCCTCTATTGGGATCCTTTATCAGCTTTGGATATAGTGTATATTATAAGTACCTATATTTGTAATAGACATTATGTCGTTGTCCCAAAATACTCCACAGGTACTTCAAGGGAAGAGAAAAAGTTTTTATCGCCGGTTGTTGAGTCGGGTTAGGTCAAACGCTGTTTACAACTGCGAGGCACTGCAATTGAAACGGCTTCACGGCAACGGTGATTACAAGGCGGTCAATAAGGAAAGCCATTTCTATAAAAATGAACTATTTTAGATAAATGAAGAGGTCCGAACGTACTAGATTTGTGTGAGCAAGTGCTTGTGGTAAGCTGAATAACTGGTTTGAGCTTTGCAATCAAATAAACTTAAACAAACAAATTCCTACTAACAGTCGTGGCAGCCTAACCTACCACCTCGCAAGCAGATAGTCATGGGTACGAATCTGAGCTTGCATCTCTTAGTTTTTCGGAGTCTATAGGCGAAATTTAATTCAAAATTCGAGCTTGAGCTTTTCGAGCAAAACAATTAATGGTGTATATTAAGTTCCCAATCCGTATTAGGCACACACACGTGGAAACTCGCATGAAACTTTTTTTATGGTACTAAGTAACGGGACGAACGAGTCATGGGCCAGGCCCATGGGAACCATCACACTTGCAGTGCCATTCATCAGAGCTTAAAAACGTAAAGATCTGAGGGGCACTGCCACTGCACCTGTCACTCTGAGACATAAGACCCATGTGCCTGTACTATCAACAGCACCCTTACCATTCAAAACCGGAACGCAGCAATGCTCACATTATTGCTTGACGGCAGAAATAAGTAAGGTGGCAGTTCAGATTCCGTAACAGTACAGCGTGCACACTTTACGGCTTATCGCTTGATTATTTATTGTTATAGTTATTTGCTTCCTGTTTGTTTTATTTGTATGTATTACCTAATTGCTATGTTTTTTTCCCTTCTTGATTTTTTTCAAGTAATAAGTATGTTTCATAATTGTTAAATGTAGTGCTGTGTTGTTTCTTTTTGGAATAAAAAAATATTTCTTTCTTTTTGTGGACGAACTCTTTCACAAGGAGCTCTACTGCTACTAACCTGGAACTATAGCGCGAGTTCTCTTATTGTGAGAGGAAACCTGTGTCCAACAGTGGGACGATCATACTAACCCTACATACACTGCGCTACGCTAAGGTTTAACCATAGTCTGCCCTGCTGACTCAATGTTTTCTTTCACCGTAAGAGAGGGGTATTTTTTTACTCAACATTCACATAAATGTACGTAAATAAGAAATCAATAGGTAGGAAGGCCATAGGGATTCGAACCATCCCACAGCTCTCTAATAAATAAATAAATGCTGTTTTATATCACTGACCGGCAGCTGTGCAAATCTAGATACGAGAAAACTCACCCAGAAATTCCCCTCGGATGTCGTAGAACGACCTAGGGATAAAATATGTAGGAGATGGGCAGGCAGCGTATTAAATAGGAACTTCATTACTGTAATCAAATTTGGTATTTTACAGCGGACTGCTTGTGGAAAATTTGGATGTAAACTTAACCACTCTTCATGTGCATCGATAATTTTGTTACGGACTTGTATCTCGTGTTACCATGCAGCAGCGGCGCGGTGGAAGTATTTTTCATTAAAGAAACGTCGACGCCGCAACAGATTGGCACGGACGTGGAAATATCCACTTAGCTCAAATAAACCATCTTAAAGCTAAGAGCGGTGGTGGTTTCTTGTTACGGCATGTACCTATAACTAAAGTGACTAAGTTACGTATTATTTTTAAATGTTGAAGATACATATCATGATGAAATTTCCACTTCGAAGAAGGTTCCTATTTCACACAACCATTGGAACCATGTAAAGTCACCAACTACTTCGACTACGGCCTACGCCGTTTTCTTAGAGGAGGCCCGTGCTCTACAGTGGCATATATATGATACTTGTAAAGAATTAACTCCCCGTTATCGTTTATGGTATTTTATTATTCTTGTACATACTAAGTGTAGCATCAACCTATTTTTTTTTTCTGTTTGCACCAATGGTCGACTGCTAGAGAGATGGTAGAGAGTGCCTTATGGCATTAAGGCCGCCGTTTGTACTTTAGTTTAGTGTGCAAAAAAATTTAAACAAATAAACAAACATATAAATAAGAAAATTTATCTTATAATTTCTTAATGTACAGGTTGTGAGAACATGTTATTTTGCGTACAATAAGAAAATAAGGGGTTGCGTAGTGCGGTTAGAGGAAACAACCGAGAAGGCATCTTTTCCGCGCGAGGAAAACAGCCGACGGGATTTAGTCTTATCAGAATATTAATAATGTTTCCTTCATGACATCCAAAATATAGAGCATTTATTCATTGTCACAAAATATATTACGTATTTTATTATAGACTGCCAAAGTCAACTATGCCTACCGTTTGAATGTATGCAATGTCACCGGATTTAACGCATAGATTATACCCTCTATCCACTTGGCTCCCTTTATAGGATCTATCAATGGATCTAAAGGTACATCGGCGTTCTTATGAATCACTTATAACCACTCTTTCTAAAAGTGATTGCTGAGAATTTTATGATTAAATATTGTTTATATTTGTTTATTCCGGAGCATAACTGTCACAAGATGGTTTTCCAGCGGTGAAGCGAGACGAAATAAGGCGAGTCGAGAATCTCAACTGACTATTTCCACCAAAAATTGACATTGATAGCTGGCGCGAACTCGCACTGTGATTGTGGATAATAAAGATTCAGTACTGATCAGTCCGTCTAGCAACAAACATGCGATAAATAAGTTAACGGAAGAAAAATTAGATGGTCTTTTTTTTAAATCTGAAATCGTACATACCCCACATTCTCGCGATTGACATTAACTGCCATCGCGAGTTTGTGGGAAATCGTGCAGAGTGTAATACTCTATGTCACCGGCAGTCCGGTTCATTATTACATCAACAAATATTGTGATTCTCGCCTCGCCCATCCTCGTCATTACAGATCATTTTCACCGAATATGCGCTAGAAGAGAATTGAAAGTTTTGCCATAGAAATTTCAATCCTGGTCTCGTCTCGCCTCGCCGTGCAAAAGCACTTTTAGGGCGGAATATTAAAGGCGGGTAATTCTCAGCACCAAGTTATTGTGTACCGAATACATATTTTGAAAATGTATAACCTACAATCTTCCGTTAGAAACCTTTTTAAGCAAATGATTAATGTGTACAAATGCTTATTTACAAAGAGCAACCCCTAGATTCTAGAACTAGAACTCAGTATTCTCATATAAATCTGTCTTGGGAATGAGAAGCAGAATTTAATCAATGAAACGATTACAAGTGTAACTTGGTTTTCTATGAAAGAAAGATATGTTTGAGTTTTTATTTTATAATACCAAGGGACGGGACGAACAAATCGTGGGGCTGGTGGTGAGCCACACGCCTGTCCATAACAGATGCATTGCTACTCGGAGCTTCAAATCGCAAAGATGTGAGGGGCACAACCACTGCGCCCGTCACCCTGAGACATAAGTTGATAAGTCAAATGTGCCAGTAATTTTACCTTTGAAATCGAAAGGCTGCTTGGCGGCCGAAATAGGTACGATGGCAGTACTTCCTTGGACGAACTCTTTCACAAGTTCTACTGCTACTAAAACTGTTGAACTGTGGCAACCCAAGAATCAATATTCTTGGTGAAAAATATTGTTTTGTCACCCACATTTCAAAGCTCAACAACTTATAATCCCATTTTATTTGCTTTGAGGTAATGCCGCCGATTCCTGTTGATGTAAAAAATTTGCCATTTATCTTATTTAATTTATCATTTATCATGATCTACTTTAATAGAATCTAAATATCCTGCAGAAACGTGTTGGTAGGATAATTTACAATCTTCATCCCAAAGCTTTTTACAGGGATGAGTTACGTAGATTACAGAGAATTAACATTCTTACAATGACATATTTATAAAAATATATTAAGAAGAATACCATTTT